GAGTCAGGAATATGGCAGAGAGAGAGGAAATCATTTGATGTGGCCTAACTCACATAGATACAGAACTTCCTGCACGTGACAGCCAAGTCTCAGCCCCAAGGTAGCTGTTCCAGCTGGAAGATTATAGGAATATTCGGTATTAAATGTATCTAACACATCTTCTCCCAAGAAAACCAAGTGTATGGAATTTTTTTGAATTGATTTGACGTTGTTTTCACCCACCTGCCCTTGACTTTGAATTACACTTCCCTTGAGAAGCCAAATTTGACAAATTAACCCAAGCTCCTAGACACTCATCATCATAGGCAGTGCATTTTAAAACAACACGGCTGCATATAATACTAGTACTAGTATTAGCTGCTGCAAATAAAATACTGCTGCATGCCTTTGCTGCCCAACACTCAACACTTCTAGAAAACAGCACTTTTAGATTTAAATTAAGATTTTTTTTGCCTCTGAACTCTGTAGAGGCACTGCATCTCCAAAGATTCCTTGGAAACAGCTGGGTCAAAGAGAAAGTAGGTTTCATGCAAAACTATGGAAATACAAACATTCCGAAATGAAGTAGTTTCTGAGTAAAACTGAGTCATTGGAATACTTCTAGTTTCTGGTTCCTATCCCTTTTTGCCTAACGTCCCCTCACAAGCAACGTCCCCTTCACTCCATCATACAAACTGTTATTTTCAAGTTTTCAATCACTTGTCTATTCGTATTTTGTATTAGACACCTCCAAACAATTGCCTGGTATCAGAATATTCAAAATCACCAGGTATCTAGAATGAAAGAGAGAACTAACAATTCCTATCCCTATTTATTTTCTACCCAGAAAATAACACAAAATGGCATGGAATTTTAAGAAATCCCATTCTCTTATTACTGGCTCAGAGAATAGACACAAACTCCAATGAAAGATGATAATGGCAGAACATGAAAAACCATCACAATTAGTCATTTTTGCTAGATAGAACATTCTCAGGAAAGCACTGAGAAATATAGAAGTATTTGAAAAACAAGTGGCTAAGAACAGATTTTTAGACAATACCGAGAGTAAAGGAGCAGCTGGCAGCAATCTATCTAGAATAAGAAAAAATAAAACCATTTTCAAATTACTCTTCCCAGCAGAACTTTTTAAAGCACTCCTTATAGGGAGCAACAAAATCATGTCACTTGCTGAGGCACAGCAGAGCACAGGCCTATGGAAACTCCTGTAGAGCTGAAATGGAAGCTTCATACAGCCAGGTGGTAATGCAGGCCACCAGAATGTCATTCTCATATTACTGAAAAAAATAAATTGGCAGCCATCCTGGGTCCCTAATTCAAGTCAGTATGCATGGTGAATGGCAATGATTACCTCCAACAGAACCAGCCAGGCTCACTGCTGCCCCAAAGGTAGCTGGAGGTGGACACCAAGTACACTGCCGTGTAAGAAAGGCAACAAGAACTTAAAATATTCACAAAGGTGCTCATGTCTCCTGAGTTAACCCTGCGTGTTAAATTTTCACTGTTGCAGATCTGTTCTCCAGATTCTGCTGTAAGAAAATAGCATGGGTACAGGACATTGTAATAAGAGCATCTGCTCTTAATGTCACGTGGCAGAAACAACAGAAAGAGGTGCAAAACTGCTGCCTTTATCCTCACAGAATCTTCGTGGCTGCAAAAAGATCACCAAAAAGTATTACAGACTTAAACTGAGCCCACCCCTTCTACCCCATTCCTCCCCAGCATTTCTGCCCACCCAGATGTACCATCTAAATGGCAAATAGCAGTTATTAGCTCCAGTTACTTCTGGCCTCTATTAGCCATTTCTGAAGTGAAAACATCTCTCTCACCTCTCTCCTACTGTCCATCCACAGTGAGGAAGGAACAGATCCCCTTTGGATACCTGAGCTACTCCTTGTGGCTCCACAGGGACAGGTCTCATTAAGACATCACTGATGTGTAGCTCAGTTTCACTTGAGATGGAGAGATGTGTCAACGAATTCCACGTGTAGGGAGTCATTTTGCTCTCAAACACAAATTCAGTACAAATATATCCAGGACCTGAAGCTGAGGATTCCCATTAAACACATGGATGTGACCTTACACAGCTCTGTCAAATGGGAATTTCATCTGTATTCTGGACCTTTTTTTTAAATTTTAAGTAATATCACATCTTTTTGTGCACATAGAAACAAGCAAAACAAAAAAAAACCCACTATTATTTAAAACTTCCCAAATTAACCAAAGTATTTCCCAGAAAGTGGGAGCATTACAGAGCCTTGCTTTTCAAGTGCAGGTGAGCCAGAAGGTAGGAAGAGAAGAACAGGTGAAGGTGGCCACAATGTCACTAGGGCAGAACTGTTCTGGCCAAGGTTTTCTGCAGCATATGAAACAGAACAGCCTCTGGAAGCTTGCCATGGCTGCTGGACAAATAAGGACAGACATCTGCTGCTCAGTGAACATGAGCATCATACCAATTGCAGTGTATTGCTACAAGAGAAACACATTTCCCAGAAGCTGCAATTCCTCCTATTCAGCACAGGCTGCCACAAGTTAACTAAACAGTGTTCACCAAGCTGTTTTATCATTGCTTCACCTCTCAGCAAGAGAGAAGCCTGTAAACTCTATGGCAACCACCACCACCCCCACCTACAGAAGTACTCAACAGTATGGGATTCTTTCCTCAGCATGCTCACTATCGCCCATCACAAACCTTTAGCATGGTTTAGCTAAGTATAAGGCTTAAGCTAAGTTCCTTCATCACAAAGGAAAAAGTCAAGTTAATAGAATCTACAGCTTGAAACAGAAGGACATTACTCTTAACACCACAGCTGAAAAGTTCACTATAAATACAGTCCACATCTTTTGAAAGCTGAAAATTGGGAATAATATAGATTTGGAAATTCTTTCATAAAACAGTAGCTCACATCACGAGTCACAGTAAGACTTACAGATATTAGCATTCTAAAAAAAACTTTACAACGACATTAGCAATTCCTCAGCTAAATGAACATTTATACACCTCTGTTCAATGCCTCTCATAACCAAGATCACTACACTTCAATCTCAGTTCCAGCATCAGACTGAGCTCACAGCTTTCCTAACAAAAACATACAGCTTCCTCCATTCCCTCCTGCAAACATATTTTCTCTCCTTTCCCTCTTTCATTTATTAGTCTCAGGTGGTGTCCATCACTAGCACAGCCACATTCCAGCTCAGCCATGTGTGCTTTGTGGTTGGGGACAGTGATGAGAGTGCTGAATCCAGCAATAGCAGCAGTTGTTTGCCTCTGGTGCTAAGTGCAGGCAAACTAGAAGGGATTGAACTCGAAAGGCATAAACAGCAAATGTTGACCTTTATTGTTACAATGCAGCTGCACTTGTATGTCAGAAAACCACCTTCCCCTCCCACTCAAACCATGCTAAGAGCACCTTCTGAAATTACCAGTCCTTAATCTTAAAGGTTGATAACTCACAGTTCAAGGATCTTTTTCAACATTATTGCAAATTATCCTAATTGCTATGATACTTATTTGTCATGGAATGGCCTGGGTTGAAAAAGACCACAATGATCATTGAGTTCCAACCCCCCTGCGATATTCAAGGTCACCAACCAGCAGACCAGGCTGCCCAGAGCCACATCCAGCCTGGCCTTGAATGCCTGCAGGGATGGGGCATCCACAGCCTCCTTGGGCAACCTGTTCCAGTGCCTCACCACCCTCTGGGTGAAAAACTTCCTCCTAAAAATAACCTAAAATAACCGAAAAAGAAACTATTTTGTGAATAGAGGACAGATAGTGTACATTAATTACTTTTTCTATAGAAGAGATCTAGTTGATCTGGCATAAAGCAGCATTCAGTCCCAACAGTGATACTACAGGACAAACAAAAAGGAACTTTTTTCTAAGACTGAAGTTTCTAATCCATTTACAGCTTCATTGTATTTTCTATTTTCCCCCCCCAAACGTAATTCTCAGTTTATTGCCTTGTTAAGTGTTTTGGGCTAGAGTATGCTAATACTCATTGAATAGTACACTGCTCTGGAAGTTGGTGTGCTCAGGTCAGGAGTACCACTTTTGGTGTTACTCATCATTTGAAATGAAAAACACACCAGCTTCTGAAGAAGACAAAGGAAACTGCCCGAATAAGCATTTTTTCTTTCAAATGTACTCCCTTATTAGCTCTTTTTAATAGCTGTTCTTAAGATTCCTTGTTTGCAATAGCCCAAATTTATTCTATTTAATAAATTTATTCCTTTAAATAACATTGTTATTAATTAAACCACCATTACTTTTATCTTCTTCTTCAAATACTACAGTGATTTAAGCATTTTAAAAATACATTATTTTTACTTTGGCTAATGCTACTCTATTATGAAAGTGCTTTAAAGCACTTCCATACTTCTTGCATGCAATGGTACTGTATTTTTGTCTGCACTTCAGTAGGGTATTTTAGATGACTCTTTAGAATTCTTTCTCTCTATGTTCCCATTATTATTTTCCCAGAGAAAGTGCACGTTGCCCTTTTGTGGGACACTTTTTAGCAACTTCACATCTAAGCATCTTACCATGCCTTCTAGCTCATCCCTTGCTCTCTTCCTTACTTCCTCAAACTTGCTTACTGGAAGCTCTACCCTGATGAACAGCCAACCTGTTGATACCACCCTGAGTAAGTTTGCAGATGACACCAAGTTGGGAGAAAGTGTTTTCCTGCCTGAGGGTAGGAAGCCCTACAAAGGGATCTGGATAGGCTGGATCGATGGGCTGAGGCCAATTGTAAGACCAAGTGTGGGGTCCTGCAATTTGGTCACAGTAACACCGTGCATCCCTACAGGCTTATGACAGAGTAGCTAGTAAACTGCACGGAGGAAAATGATCTGTGGATGTTAGCTAACGGCCAGCTGAACAGGAGCCAGTGTGTGCTAAGACCAACAGCATCCTGGCTTGTATCAGAAATAGGGAGGTGTACTCATCCCTGGTGAGGCTGCATCTCAAGTACAGTGTTCAGTTTTGGGCTCCTCAATGCAAGAAAGACATTGAGGACCTGAAGCATGTCCAGAGAAGGGCAATAAAGCAGGTGAGGGGTCATATGAGGAGCAGCCAAGGGAACTGGGATTGTTATTCTAGAGAAGAGGAGGCTCAGGGAAGGCCTTATCACTTTCTACAACTGCCTCAAAGGAGGTTGTGACAAGATTGGGGTCGACCTCTTCTTCTGTGTAACTAGTGATAGAATGAGGGGTTATGGCCTCAAGCTGTGGCAGAGGAGGTTCAGGTTGGATGTTAGGAAAAAAAGTTCTTCTCAGAAGGGTGAGGTATTGGAACAGACTGCCCAGGGAGGTGGTGGAGTCGCATCCCTGCAGGTGTTCAAGAAAAGGGTGAATATGGCACTAAGGGACGAGGTTTGGGCAGCTGCTGTGGTGACAGGTCGACGGCTGGACTAGATGACTGGTGTTCTTTGCAGCTTTAATGATTCTACAATTCCACCAGGGCACGCAGAGCTTCCCGCTGCATCTCAAAAAGCCGAGACTTCAGCTGACTGCTTTTGTCCCTCTTCCAGCTCCCGGGTGACTTTTCCTCATCCAACAAACCAAACACTGCGGAACACGCAGCGCTGTCGTTATCCAGACACTCCCTCTGAACTCGGTTCGGCTCTCGGCTCCCACCTCCCTGCCTACACCGCCTTTCCTCGCCGATCCCCTCAGGGGCGGAGGCGGCGGGGCCGGCCGGCCCGGCGGCTGCTCTCAGTGCGCAGGCACGGTGCGAGCGGCGCTCCGGGCCGTGCATAATACGTGCTGTTTGGGGCCGGCGCGACGCAGAACGGAGATGGGACCGGGCCGAGAGAGCCGCAGCTAGCGCCGCTGCGGTTGCTCAGCCGGCCGAGGGGAGCGGCGGGAGGGACAGGTAACCCGCGCCCGGCCGGGATCGCAGCGGAGAGGCGGCTCTCCCAGAGCGGGGCCAGCGGGGCGCTGCCGGCCGGTCGGCTCCTGGGGGTTGGGAAGGGGCTTTGGGGACGGGCAGCGCGGCTGATCCAGTTTGGGGGGAGGTGCTGCTGTCGGTGTGCGACCTTCGTACCGGTTTCGTCCTGTCGCTAAAACGGGGGATGGAGGGTCGCGGTGTGCGTGTACATCCGGAATAATCAGAGACCGAGAACCCGCTGGAATCATTGCAAATGACGTTTGAGATTCACGGTGATGTCAAAGAGCGGTGGCTCATCCAAAATCGTCCTTTCCCTTTCGTTGTTTCTTTTTTTCCTCTCATTTTCTTTTTTAAGCGTTTTCAATAAGAAGTATGGCAAAGTTACAAAGGCAGTTTTACAAGGAGCGTGCTCATCTCTTTGTCTGCCTGCTCACCGATCCGGCCGCATCTCTCAGGATCGGTGGAGAATAGTAAAGCACAAAGTAAACAGGACAGCGTTTGCCATGGAAACAAAAGTTGCTAGGGGATGAATTGCTACTACGCAGTGGAGTGCTTTGGAGCTGCCACCATCCGCCCCACGTGTTCCCAGACGTTTTGGGCTTTAGATGCTGAAAAAGTTGTGAAGATCGACTGCTTCCTGTGGCCTGGATGCATGCTCTAAGCCCGTGCTTAATGCACGTCTGCCTAGCAGTGATTCTGTCTCCCTAGCAAGTTTCCCAACATCTCAGCATTTAGTTTCTCAGCCACGGAGGTGAGACATGCAAATAGACACCAACGCTCAAGAGGACGGAGCTACTGCAGTATTTATTCATCCAACGTAAATTGATGCAGACACGTTTCCTCCATATTTCAGTCAAACTGATTTTCCCACCATACCCCGTTCCAATTCCTCTGCCTCGTCAGTACATAGCAAGAACCACAACATTATGTTTGTGCTGCAGCTGAGAGAAGAGACCATCTTGGGCCCAGTTGCCAGACTGCTTCAGTGAGTCACGTAGGGCTGGGAAGCCTTCTTCCCATCTCTCTAAGGGATTAGGTTTTCCAAAAGGTAGGAGATCTCTTATTGTAAGTGGAAGAGTCTGAGCATAAAGAAAACATTAAGTAGAACTAATCTTATGCAGTGCTTAGGAAGAATTAATGATGCTGGCTAGATCTAGTCCTTTTTAGTATTTTGTTTCTTTTCATTTTAAAAGGTCATTCTACTTGATGCTATCGCAGGCCTTTCAACCAAAAGATCATTCTTTTGTTTTGCTTTGTATTCAGCCGTCCAAGCTCTTATTTATCATTTTGCACATACAGCTGACCAAAACCACCAATTAGCATTTTAGATTGATAAAGAAGAAGAACCTGCATAACATAAGTGGTTATGGGCTATGTGTTTCCTGCAGGTAATTCTTCATCAAGCTGTTAGAAAGACCAAACCATCCTTTATGTTTTTTGACAAATAAACATAGAGACAGTGCTGTGAGTCCAGGAGAAATATATTTCTACAGATTTCTGTCACATCACGCCATATTTTCTTGAAATAATAGTAACAAACTATGGTTGCTGGTTTTGCTCTACCTTCCTTCCAGTCTTTGAGAGGGATAAAAGCTCTCAAATTGTCTCCTGGTGGCAGCTGGAGCAAAGCAAGGGAGCTTTGGCATACTCCTTATCTGGCTGTACTGGGTCTGCTCCTTCCCTGCCCTGATGTTACAAAATCAGCTAGACCTAGGAACAGTGCCTTCTTTCCTTGTGTGATGTCTCCTGCCAGACTGGAGTACTCTACATATAGATGATCTTGCCCCAGTTCTCCCTTAAGATGATGATGTTCTGTTTTTGGTTTAGATTTGCTTCTTTGAGAAAAATATTTCTGTACTGGATAGGCAGAGCTCTCTTAGTGCTCATTCTGTAGAAGATGGCAGCTAGTTGGCTATTGAAGATGTGGTAGCAGTGAAAAAGGAGGGCTTTCTTTTTCCCTTTCTTTTTTAGTCAGGAAACAAACAGCAGGAGAGACTCCCGAGGGACATAGAAAGGCCTCTTTGGCAAAAGAACAAGCAGTCTTGAAAAACAGAATAATTGCCAGAGTTTCCCTGCAACGGTTCAGATTGTGTTCTCATGGTGTCATGCCCTCAGCAGTGGTTAGGCAGCTTGTCTGGGAGCTGTCTGAGCAGCTCTGTGCACATGGTGGCCAGGATGCAGAGCAGACAGCTGGTGCAGTGCAAGGCAAGACCTTCCTGCAGTCCCAAGGTTTCCACCTTGCCTGGCAAGGACATTGCCCTGCGTGTGCTCCGGAGGGCAGTAACACAGCAGGGAGCAAGCCAGCCCTCAGGCTTAGAGGCACTGGGCCTCCTGTTTCTGAGGTCTCACTTCTATGAGAGCTTTGAAACCTCTCCATGAGTCATAATAGAGAAGCTTGCCTTTATAAGACTTTGAGATCATGAAATCTCAAACTGAATTACATATAAAATGTACAGAGTAAATAATAGCTGAGATTACTGCTAGCAATAAAGAGGAAACAGCAAAGCCCTCTGTCACTTGATGGAGAACACAACCAAATTCCTAAAGTTTAAAAGATCATTGTCATACCAGCACTGGTTTCAGAACCAAGAGTTTCAGCTGGCTGCCATTCGTTACTGGCACGTGCTGGCTCCTGCTTAAATTGAATGCAAAAGTATCTGTTTTTTTTCCCTCACATAGTCAAGCATCTCATACATGACAAGATTACACATTCCTGAAGGGCAGAGGGACCGGAGTCAGCAAAATTGGAAGGTCCTGGTTGCAACAAGCACACGAATCCTTCCTTCCAAGTCAAATTGCAGTGGCAATCAGATGAACCAGTTGTAGTAGTATGAAGCTGGTAAACTGAGTTGTGAGACTCAGATTCAGGTATTCATTAACAGTTCCCTTTGGGCTAAGGACTTTTTGAACTCTTTAAAGAGAAACAAGTCAGCTTAAATGATACTGACCTGCTGCTCAAGTTTTGTAGGTGCTGGTATTACTTTAATGAATTCAGTAGCATCACGCTTGTGCAAGTTCAGGTCTCGTACTTGCATAGATAAACACAAATTTTCTGTGTTACAATAACTTCAGCGAAGTGGAAAGGGTAGGGAACATTGTCTGCTATGAAAACAGCTAATAAAATTCAGATTTTTTATTAGAGTCAGCAGGAGCCTGGGCACTGAATTCTCTAAGGGAACATCAATTTGCCACAAATTTAGTATTTGCATTTCACCCTTTGGTGAGCAGATTAGTGGTATTGTAGCATTCCATCTTTTTTTTTATTTTTAACTATTTATATTTAAGTGCAATTTGAATCTAGCTAGCTCTTACTTTGCCAGTGTTTCTCGTGGCTGTGAATGTTATATCAGTGCTTAGTCCTACGTTTCAAAAGCTCAGGCTTTTTAAAAAGCTCACTCAGCAACTAGAAAATTTGTGAGGTTGCAAAGTCCACTTTACTCATAGAGCTGGAGTCTGCCCTTGAGAGATGCTGTCTACCTAGTAGTTTCTGCTTTGTTCAGTCTCCAGAGAAACCATCAGTAAGTGTGAAGGATAGGCAATTCTACCTACGGGTGGGATGTTTCTGCAGAAAACTTCAGGCTCTGATTTGCCCGGGTCTGCTTGAGCTGAGTCACTGCTCATTACCAATATGTAGCCAGCTTTCCTCTCCTTACCATGTCAATAACTAGATCCACTTTGCATGAAACTTCTCATTGCAGGCAGGAAGGATGAGCTCCTATGCTGACATCTGCGGGTCCAAGCATGTGCAGGGCAGCACTGAGGGAGGTTACCAACGCTATGGAGTTCGGTCCTACCTGCATCAGTTTTATGAGGACTGCACAGCTTCAATTTGGGAGTACGAGGATGATTTTCAGATCCAGAGATCGCCTAGCAGGTGGAGCTCTGCATTCTGGAAGGTACTGTCCATTGCTGGTTACTGGGGAGAGAAACTGTGATGTTGAGATGTTCACATGTAACTAATGATTTTGGATATTCATCCAGAAAACCCTGGTTGCTCAGCTTTCACTGTGATGACTGAATGACAGTCTGTCTTAGGACAGGACTTCTTGTTTTTTTAAACAAAGATACAAGAGCTGACAAGGGAGTTCTGGAGTTCTTGGGTCCTTGGTTTCTCTGTCACAAGTTCTGTCACTGAAACATCCGAGTCTTGTTATGGGCAGGGTTTCCCCAATTCAAAAGTGTAATACTCCCATCAGATAATTACAAATGGTAATGGTAGGTTAACAGCATAACCCTGGGTTTGTGTGACCTGAGCATCAAAAAACAAACAAACAAACAAAAAAAAACCAACCAACTATAAGCTCTCCATGAAGAACAGGGAACATGGAGAACCTGAGAGTGCAAAAGGTTGGAAGGGATCTGTGGAGATTAAGTAATGCAGCCCTTCTGCTCTGATGGTAGGGCCATCCTATGTGAATCAAACTTTGCACTTACAGTTGAATTGTGCTAGAAAAATTATACAGCCATACCTGACATGTAGTGAATATGACATAGACCAGCAAGGACTGAATTGTTGGTGCTAACCACCACCTAAAGCTACAGAAATAATTAATCTTGCAGCTCTGGGGTAAGACTGTAAGTTTCCCTGTGTTGGGGCCTTTGGACACTAGGTGCTTTTCAGAAGTACAGATGCATAATTCTGTTGTTCCCAGAAATGTTGATACTGATTATATAAGTGTGAATTGTAAGAAGAATGTTCCTCTGTATGTTCTAGTTCTACTAGAGCCACTCAAAGAAAAAAATGTTGGCTTAAGAACAAGAAGCTGTACCTGCAGGACACTTAGAAGCTAAAGGCTCTCTAGAACCTGTTACTAATCAAAATCTAAAAGATCATATTCACTGTTACATTTTTTGTTTTCCAGGTCGGACTCGTCTCTGGGACGGCTTTCATGCTGATTGGTTTAATGGTTCTTGTAGTGGGTTTTCTTGTGCCACCAAAAATCGAAGCTCTTGGGAAAGATGATTTTGTTGTAGTGGATACCCGTGCCATTCAGTTCAATGGGTCCCTTGATATATGCAAGCTGTCAGGAGCAATTTTATTTTGCATTGGAGGAACCGCCATGGCAGCATGTCTGCTGATGGCTGCTTTTGCTAAAAGTTACTCCAAAGAAGAAAAGTACCTCCAGCAAAGATTTAAAGAAAGGATAGCAGATATAAAAGCCCATGCAAACCCAGTCACAAAAGCGCCAGCACCAGGAGAATCAAAGATACCCGTCACTTTGTCCAAAGTTCAAAATGTCCAACCTTCATCTCAAACCTGACCCTTTGGTTTTGTTTCTCACTTGCAGATCACTTCACTGGAAAATATCAGCTGTTGCTGGCATATGTGCTAGTCAATTACAATATCGAATGCTCTGCTATACAAATGCACAGCTGATTGGGAAGCTGTTCCAGTATAAATTTAGGATTGGAAAAAGTGAAATTATGTGATTAGACCCGTAACCAATGTATTCAGTGTATTCAAACATTTTAATCTGTGTTGAAACAGTAAGACCTTGCAACAATGATTAGGTATTTTGCTTACCAGATTGCATCCCTAAAAAAAAATAGAAGGTGCATTTATGACAGCTATGCCAGGAATACCTTCCATCCCGCTCCTTAACATTTAGATGAGTTGGTGATCTATTTTGTTTTCTCTTTGTCTTTAAAGTACTTTTACTGCCTAGCTCTGCTATCCAGAAAGCCAAGACTCTGCCCTTGTAATTTGCACTTGTCATCCTGTCACGTGCTGCTGTCTGTGTTGACGTAATAACGCACAGGTAAAACATACATGGCATTGGGGTGCCCTTAGTTGGATACTGGCACACTTCCCAGTAATGTTACTTTTCTGGGAAAGGCAAATTATACTTGATCCAGAGTTCCAACCAGTTTGTGAGAACTGCCACTTTTCTCTTAATCATCGCCCTATTAACAAAAATACAAAGTAAAGATGAGGAATTCTTACAGAAGGAGGGGCATCGCACTTGTGTTCCTTTGGATTGTTTCTTTCCTTACATTGTATTGTTTCAAGCTCATACAGATTTTCAGTTGTGGCCAGGCATGGATTACTAAGTGTGGTCTGACATGCCCAGGCCCCATTTTCTGTCAGGACATTAATGCCAGGTCAGGTGACCTTAACATACTTATCTGAAAACATTTTAAAATGCTGTTTATATTTTTATAGATTATAGAAAAAGTTATGCTTATCAGATACATTTGTGTAAATGCTTACCTGAAGATTTGTTCTTTCTCCAGAGTCCCTTCATTATTTTCTCACCCAGGGCAATTATTTCACTGTCTTAATCTATGGATTTGAATTAAACTGTATAAAGAAAGATGTGACATTTGTACTCTCTGACGATATGTGCCACCTTATAGTTCTGTCTATTTTTTTGAATGGATTGAATAAAATTCTAGGTCTGAGCCAATCACAGATTTTGTGAAAAGTCTCTTTCTGGTCAAACAAGTTGCTCTGGTTCAGTTGGAAAAGAGAAGTTGCAACTCACCAGTCTGATAATGCAGCCTGTGGTTTCAGACTTAGGGCATGCTGAATCCAAAAGCGTCTGCACAGTAACAAGCATGTTGGAATAGCTTTGCTCCTTTCCTTGATAAAACGTTTTGTGGTCTGTGACTCAGTTCAGACTTCCATGATATAAATAAATCAGAATATATTTGGACGTTTCAGCTGAGTTTGCAACAATTACTGTGGCTGACAACAGCATCAGAAGTAAAATTTTTTTCTGAAAGAAATGAGAACTGCCTGTCTAAGCAATGCAAGTGCAACATCCAAATGCTAGCACGAAAATGTCCAGTTTAGAGCTTGTCACAAGCACATAATTACATAGAATGCAGTGAAGCATATTTTGGGATGCTTCTTACAATTTGTTGGCAGCTATATAGGAGACATGGAAAAGCATATTGCGCCCAATGTTTAAAAAATGGGATTGTAATCTCAGGAGAAGCAGATAAAAATAGTGTGGAAGAGGAAAAGGTGAAGAGAGTGATAAGAAGAGCTGTGTATTGTTTAAAAAGAAAGCCGGTAAGAACTTGATACTGAGGGATAAGGAGTATTGATTGCTTGCAAGGGTGGGAATGTGGAGAAGAGCTGAAGTCCCTGCTGCTCTTTAGTTATTCCAGGAAGAGTGCTTATCACTTTCTTTCCTAGCTGAGAGAAATTTTGGTTACTACTACTTGCTTTCATTGCTGTCAGGTTATCAGTATGTGGGCAACAGAGAATCAAGCTGTCCTGACCTTTTCAGTGCAGCTTTTAGTTTCAGATTTGTTCATGGAGGAGATGTGACATTTTAAGTTTTGCAGTGAGGTTCACTGAAGGAGCTGAGAATGATGGCTCCTGCAGATGTTACTGAGTCCTATCTCTGCATCTATGTTTTGTTAATGCAATAGTGAAAGTCTGACTGAAAATCCATCTGGAAAAAAAAAAACAAAAACATAACAGGTTTGGCTTATTTACCTAAAGTACTTGTATGGGAGTACAGTTCTTCATATGCACCCCACACGTAGGTGCACGCGTGCAAGTGCTGCTAAATTTTGTCCAGAGGACAAGTGACCTGACAGCAAACAGAGCTGCAACAAGCATTTGGTCACACTGTGCATCATTTCTGCAGAACTGAACGTGCTTTGACAGTGTGAGAAAGGATGAGTCATGCATGGCATTACCCAGCTTCAGGAGAAAGAAAAGCCCTCAAGGATCATTCTAATGCTTGTTGGGATAGGAAACATGTTGGAGATTTAGCAGCTGAGGCAAAGCTGGTAACACTGTCACAGCTAACGTTGCCACATACATTTCATCTTGTTAAACCCTTGTTTCAGTTAGAGATTTTCCAGCACTGAGAACTTGGAAGGCTGAAACATTCTGGAACAGAGGCTCTGCCACACAGGGCTTTTTTGGAAATACTGAGCATTGAGTTATCCTGTTGTTATTAAGAAGTCACGCACCAGAAAGTTTAAGACCCATTAGAAACATTTTTGGGATCTGGTTCCTTGTAACGTTTTAACACCCTCCACCTTTGGCACAGAAACTGAAGCATCAGAGGAGCAGAGGAGATACGCTTTTTGCTGCTCCCATAGAAAATGCCAGTGATGCAGCCTTCAGCTGGGAGCAGTGAGGGACAGCCCAGCTCCCCGGAACCTTCCAGTGAGGCTGAGGACAGTCTGTCCTTGCATATATCTTTTCTCCACTATTTATCTTTTCCCATCCCCCCAAATCACAGAGCTTGCACTCTGGGGCAGTCTGGGACTTCGCCTACAGACCTTGGTTGCCATCACCTTTCCAAAAGACACACTAATGCATTACTTAGTGCAAATAAAATATGGCTTGGACATTAGAGACTTTATTTCCTGCTTGTTTACCTCCCTGCTCAACAGTCTTATTAGTTTATTCACATTCACCCTATTTCTTCCCCTTCTTCTAGCCTTATATATCTTAAAATTTCACTGAATCCCCTTTTATCCTGACAACATTTCCTCTGCAATTGTAGCAAAAGAAATAACATTTTTCTGTTTGACTGATAATCAGTGAATTAATTTTGATTAATGCATGCTCTCCTGATGGTTAGGTCTGCGTTCTCTATCATACTGTGCAGGTAAAGCTTCTCATCTGTTCGCTCTTCCTCCCTCCAGGCTGTCTTGACCCTTCTATTTTCAATTTGCCCAGTGAGTCACAGCCTAAGGCAGAGAAGCTGAAGCATCCTCAACTCCTGAGCAGCCTGATACGCACATTTAGTTCCCAGTCTCTGCTACAGCCTCAGCCTGCCATTTCCAAGTATGAGCTTTCTAATCACGCACAAGTGCAAGTAAACAGCTCTTAATGAAAGCAGCAGTGTGGGGAGACTGCAGCACCTTGACCAGCAGCCAGAGGAGAGAGGCTTGGCAGGCAGAGAGCAGCCAGAACCTGCATCCTGGGGAGCCTGCTGATCAGCCCCGAAGCCTGTGAAAGCCTGTGCTGACAGCAAAGACTGCAAGAACCAAAGCTGGAGGTACTTTGCCAGTAGCCTTCTATCAAAGGGCTAAAATAAAGACATTAGCACATCCGCTCACTCATTCCAAGCCATCACCCTGCCACTGCACAGCAGGCTGCTCTCTAAGATCTCCCGGGCTAGCAATACAACATAACATGATGCTCTATACAGAAGCAACATCTGGATTTTGCCAACTCATCCCCACAGCACAGTATGTCCCTGAGGAGCAATCGTCACAAATGGGGAGACCCCTGTAGGATCCTATTTCCTGTATTTGGATTGTGTGCTTTTTGGGCAACCCTCTGATGTCCTGGCAAACAATCCACTCACACCCTTAATTTCCTCTGCTCTTATCAGGACGCCAGGCAGACCACGCAGTGCGTGCTTCCTGTATTAGTTCACTTGATGTACATTAAGCAGGGCAAAGCTCAGCTTTGCTGTCAGATAATTTACAGAGGGACTATTATGAAAATAACGTCTGCATATTAACAGTAAGTCAGGCATTTCTCATGGCCATGCAAACAGAAGAAACAGCATGTAAGGGACTGGCTTTATTGTTTTGTCTAATCATTTGCAGCCGGTTTTTGAAGGTCCACTTTTTCCATCATTTTAGCAAATAAAGATGGAAGATCATTTTTAAATGCAGCTAATAAGCCAGTCAATTTAATGATACACCAGATACACTGCTCCGGTAATCACTTGTGCCTTCAAGCTGTTGCCTAGCTAAAAGCAGCCTCCAGCCTGAGGCCACATGGATGAGCCGGCTGAACCCTTTCTGGAGGTCATTATTTCCCTGTCTCTGCTCTTCTACCAGCTGCAGTGCTTGCTGCCCTTTCTCTCCCTGCCTCACCTAGCAACCTTGTGCCCTGACATTTCCCTCCTAAGCTCCGCGTGTTTTCTGACATCTTGCTCAAACTTATTCAGTTCTCACCTGACCCCTTGCAAAGTGATTTCTTCTCAAACTGTGCCGAGACAAAATCCTTCTGCTGAGCACGTCTCCACTGTCTCCAAGAAGCGTAGATGGTCGGAGTGCCCTTGTAAACAACCAGACAGGCTGGTGGGCGTTCTGCCCTCCTTTCTTTGTAAGAGCATAAACAACTGGGTTCACCTGCACCTGACCCTGAAAAGCAAGCCACACTGTCAATGCAAAGCAGAGCAGAGGAGGTTGCTGTGACCCAGCAGTAGCTTCTTTTAGCTTTGTCTTGCAGCTGAGTCTCCAGAAATATTCCAAAGCTGCTTTAGGATCTGCACACCTGCCCTGAGAGCCAAGGTCTTCAGTTTGCCCTCAGTAAGACATAACAGCCTCTTACCTACTTGCAACATGGGCTTGGTTGTTTGCTGCAAACACCCATTAAAGGGTGGTGATTGCAGCTCATCCCCTCAAAAAAATCACAAAATGGACTGTGATTAGTTCATGCAGACTTTCAGACAATCATATAACTGTTGGAAGCAATGGGTTATTTGGTCTAATTATGTCTCACCTTATGTAAGCTGCAGTTAGATCTTTGCACTGATGAGGTCCGTTCTCCAGGTGCCCTGCCACAGCCCAGCTGCTGACCCTCCATCAGCAGGGACTGCCTTCTGAGGAGCACCAGTGCTGCCTCTGAACCCAACCATCTTTTCTCCAGGCACAAAGCCCAGAAGTGTAGCTGCAGTAGTGTGGTATAAACCTCCAGATCCCACAGAAATCCATCTACCCGAACCAACAGTGCAGGCTTCTGTTGGCAGGTAGCTCCAGAGTGGGCAGCCAGATCACTCTCCCACAGATGCATCATGGCACCATGTTGAAGGCTTTGCTCTTAGAGACACCGGTGTGCTGCTGTAGGGTTTTTCTTCAGGCAACCCAGCAGGCAGGCCTACACACACAGTGCAAGCACTGCTCATAGTCCTCACACCCAGGCACCCAGCTGTGCATCAATGGATCTTTGTTTAGAGAACATGCCTTGGCATATCCAGATGAGCTCTGCAAGGGTGTTGTCACCCACAAGTGTCATAGCTGTGCTCAGGCACTGCAAATCCTTCAGGCCTTAGCAAAATGCAGAAGCCACAGATGTTTAAGAAAATAACCTGCATCCTGCTTGTAAGTGGGAATGTAGTATGGCATAGACTTGATGCTTGTATGCATGGTGAACAAGTAAAGGGTTTAGAGAGGCTAGAAGGGACACGTGCCAGGAAAATGAATGGGTACAGCACCAATATATACGTGCTTCTAAAGCACATGGTTCCTTACAGCATGAAAGTTACGTGGATCTTTTTTGATACAGAAGTGAGATGCACACTTCTTTTCTTTTGCTGGTGGAAGTAACAGGCTTTCAGTGACAGAAGCACCCAAGAGGTTTAGTTACCCTACCTTCCTTTTTCTGTGATGTCGTTTATAACCGTGTGGTTCTTGAAGAAATGAACCCTTGAGTCACCTTGAGCTAGTCTTTGTGTTGCATGAAAAGAGAAATAGTCTCCTGTCTCTTTCTTTGTGGATAGAGAATACTTTTATCCAGCAGACACAAATCCCAGTTCTTGGTTTACCAAGTTAATTCCTGTTTGGTGCTAGCTCTGAGGGAACAATAAGAGAACAGAAAGGGAAGGCACAAAGGCTTTTCCTAGGATGTTCACTTTGCACTGATAATCTCTAACCGAAAAACAATGTGGAGCATAAGTACTATTTTTGGAAAGGTCATTTCTCACAATCAGAAATAGAGAAATAGAGAAACTGTGTGTTTTAGGAAAGCACAGTCCACAGCAGAAGAGCAAACAGGGATAGCTTAGCACAAGTGTCCAGAGCACAGTGTGACTACTCATCCCTGACACCATTTACTCACTGAGACAGGAAGCATAAATCAGCATGCTACTCAAATCAAGCAGCCAACTGAGAGAGGTAGAAAAATCTGTGCATCAATGAATGCTAAAGCCTGAATATGTATTTTTTTCCCTCAAGAGCAGAAGAATCAACACGCCGGTGTGAGAGCAAAGGCAAAAGAGTGGGCCTCTATCACCTGCAGAAACTATTTTACTCCTAAGAGAGAAACAGAAATATATTTGGTGATGAAACACAGTGATTTAATAAAGCTTGACAAATCAAGACAGCGAATTAACAAGAGTCAAGTTGGCAAGATACATTTGATTATTTACTGCACAGAGAGTAGGGTTAAATGTATTCAGTCAGGGACCCTCTCACTGAATCACGAGATTCAGAGTGGATCCCCCTTTTTTCTAAACTCTTTGAATCACAGGGGTGAGGATCCCAGGTGCTGCTGAATCTACTCCTTGTCCCAGACTTTGCCAAAAGTTTAAGTCTAAAGGCACAATCAAGGATATAATCTTAGTGCAGCTGACAAAACTTAAGCAAATTAATAATCACTTACCAAGTATCTGTATCAGCTAGGCATCCTAATGTCAAGCTGTAAGGGGTCTCTGTAATCTTGATAGAATCCTGGCTAAAGGGGAGATCCTGTCGTGTGGTCTGCTGCCATTCAGGAGAGCTCAGGGGGCTCTTGATCTGCTCACTGTTTATGAAGTAAGATGATCGACTCATTAGTCATAGTTTTGGTGCATGCTTAATTGGCCTTCAGCTTTTGAACCAGGCACCTGCCATCAGTTCCCTGAGCACTAAAGTTTGAGACAGTATTTGGTCATTAGTTTTGGTGTTATATGTCCTGGGGCATTTCATTGTCTGCCTTAATGAGGACTTGGGTGCAATGGCCAGGCCAAAGGATGAAGCTTTGGGGAGCACAGCACCACAACCCCATCTCCTGGGTATCCCAGAGAACGTTACTAAGATGAGTGAGAACTGTGCCCCTCTGACTCCCCTCACCTGGGACAGAAAGAAGAAAAATGGCTGCCACTGCTCCACAAGATTATGATTACAACAGGCCAAAGCCTGCAGGGTGAAGCTGACCTGTCAGAGCCACACCTGCCCCCTTGCCCAGGCATCAACGAAAGCACTGATTTGATCTATCTGATTTGATCTATTTGATGTGTCACCCCTATTAATTTTGCCTTGTTATGCATGCAGCCTTCCCAGGATGCTCCTTGCATAAGAACAGCCCCTGCAGCAGCAACACCTGAAGGTCATCCCACTGACTCCAGAAACATTCAGCTGTGGGGTACAAGGCCCTTCCTCTGTATATGGCAACTCCCCATTCATCTGAGCCACAACAACCCAAGCAGTCAGATTCTACTTTTTTCCACAACCCTTAGTGGATCTCATGTACTTCATGTTCCTTTGCAAAGAGACTGAAGGAGAAAATCCAAAATTACAAGTGCTGCTGTGGAGAAAAGCACTCAACTCTGTATACCTATCTGCTTCCTGTTAACAAAAGCACTCTGCCATTTTACCACACAGATTTTCATTACATGCCACCTTTACAAGCTATGCTTTATTTCACGCTTGTTAAAAATAATGGCATCTGACTTTATGGCAAAGGGAGCTACATGATGTATCACTGGACTGCTTTCTGCAGGTGCCAGCTAACATTTTGCCTTCCTGTGAAGTCAGGTGCTTGAAATCATGGCAGAAAAGGGGAATTTTAAAGTGAATCCCAAGCAGACCTCGTCTTTTCACATCACCTAATTTTAGGCTAATTCTTAAACCGCCTCTACAGCCAATCAGTCCATTAGAGGTGACCCAGCTAGGATCTCAGATATTTTGCATCATCCCCAAGAGGGCAATTTTTCTCCTGTCACAAACTGGGCAGCCTGGAGAAAGGGAGCCTGTAGCCATCGAGGTTGAGTGTGCTGAGCCAAGTGCTTGGATTACCCAGCTTTTTGCACACCTGGAAACCTGGAACGCTGTGGGGCCACTCTCCTTAAAATCAATGGTGTGAGGAACATAACATGGATTTTCAGGAGATAAATTGAGTTTTGATCAAAATGTATTTTATGTGTTGGCTTTGGAGTCTGGAAAAAGTAAATTCCTTTAATAATGATTTTCCAGATAAGATTAGGAGCTTGACTTCACCTGCTTCACTTGCATATCAGTGGGAGTACAACAACAGGAATCCAGAAAATGAGAGTGAACGTGCACAAACAATTCTTACAGGAGAAAGACTTTGTACTGGTTTTTGCATAGAAACACCTGGATTCTAATCCAAAGATTCATAGCATAAATAGTACATGAAACCTGTGCCTTTAAAAATCTGCTAACAGAATCACAGAATCACAGAATCACAGAATGACCTGGGTTGGAGGGGACCTCAAGGATCATGTAGTTCC